TTCGGTAATAAAATATGGGTCATTTGGATTCAAAATATGTGAAACATATCATTCTGGTTAGATGCAGTTGAAACAACTTCATCTCTTAATATTTATCCGGCCATCAGTGAAATGAGTATTGAGTCACATTTAGCCCATGAAGGGGGAAGACATTTGTCCTCTCGACAATGCTGATAGGAGTCTCACGAGCCAATCGGGGGTTCCAAATACAATGAGATATTTCCTTTCTGGTAAGCATCATTAAAAGCTATGAAATCCCCGTTTTGATGGATGAACCAATCTTCGCTCTTATTCTAGGTCTTTACCTAAACAAGAAGGGCAACTAGAGGCTATCTAGGGAGTATATGGAAGGAAATTCTCTCCATGCCCAACAAAAGCCGAAAAATGCAAAGTTCCTAGAGGCCCTGTATAGATCCACGAAGGGTATTCTGCGGCCTCTATGGTTCACGGGCCGGAATAAGTACGGGTGGGACGCTTCTAGTCGCTGTGACCACCTAGGTAGCTGCTCAGAGAATCTGTGCGTCGGATCTGTCGTTCTCACAACAATCAATCGATATTTTTTCACGACATGTTTGCCGCGGTCGTCGGGTTCGCTCTTCTCATATCATGGGTCATTTCATTGATCTCTCGCAACCACAGTTCCAGCTTAAAAGACATCCCCAATGCGCATTTCTCCGCTCCATACACACGCCTATGGTTGCTGTCGCTCCGATGGCGGAACATGGAGCATCGTACCCGAATTAATCTCCATCGCCGCCTCGGTCCAGTTATTCGAGTTGGCCCTCGTGATGTGAGTGTGAATTGCATTGATGATGGGGTTCGCACAATCTATAGCAGCAAGTTCGACAAAGATGCGACCTTCTACAATAAATTGTTCGATCAGTAAGTTCCCGAAACCATCTTCATCTTCCAAATTTGATGACAAGTCGCTGGGCTAACTTAGTACAGGACCAAGTTCATGGTCACTATGACAGGTGATGCAGAGCACAGGGAGCGTAGACGCATGCTTACCCGCCCTTATACCAACTCGTACATTCTCATCTCCCCAACTCTCGATGACGTCCTTTCTCGCGTATCGCAGCGCCTTAAAGAAGCAATTACCAGCTGGGCAAAGACGGGTACCTCTGTCGATGTCTATCAGCAGGCTAAATGTTGTACCCTTGACGTTGCTTCCGGCTGGCTCTTTGGTAGCGGGAATGCGACTGATACTTTACGAAACCCGGCATTCGAGAATGACCTCACAACCTTAGCTTCAGCTGGCTCCAAGATAATTACCATGAGGACCAGCCTTGACTGGCCTATGACCTATTTAGAAAACTGGTTTGGCAACAAGCTGCCCGATCCCGAAATCACTTCTCGGTGGCAAGCGTGGCTCACACGAGTAATCACTAATTCCTACAAGTGGCACTCTACCAACTCACTTTCTACCCCGAGCCTTTTTGACCATTTTTATGATTCTTTTAAAGCCGCCAACCCCGAAATGTCGCGTAACGAAATGGCTTCCTTGATCGCGGTCGAGTGCGACGACCATCTTTCGGCGAGCCACCTCGGCCTGGGGACATTACTGTCATATATCATGTACGAGTTATCAATAGATCAGAACTGTCAACGCGCACTCCGACAAGAGCTCCTCACTCTGGCCAAACCTAGCGATCGAAGCCTAGCCCATCGCCTTGCAGATTTGCCAGTGCTTGACGCCGTTGTCACGGAGACCATGCGAACCCGTGCACCTTGTCCCGGCCCTTTCCCTCGTGTTGTTCCAGACTCAGGCTGCCGGCTCGCGGGGAAGTTTGATGTCCCCGGTGGCACTATCGTCAGCTCCTCCGCCTGGGCCCTCCACTTCAATCCCGTTCCTTTTCCCTCTCCAGAGGAATGGCGACCGAGCAGGTGGCTTGAAGCAGACGAGAACGCTGTCGTGGAGATGCGGAGGTGGATTTGGACATTCGGAAGCGGCGCGCGGGTGTGCATAGGCATTCATTACTCTATGCGTGGTAGGTTCCATTCGGTCACCCTTCCGTAATGTCCGTTCCATCGAATAACGTGCTGACGGTACAACTCGCAACCAGTTATCAAAGAGCTTCTTGCTACCATCTATACGGATTATTCGACCTACCTTGATGATGAATTCACAGGAAATGTGGAACAGCAGGATGCCTTCTCGGCGGGGCCTGTTGCGGGTTGTCTGAAGCTACGATTTAGAAAACTCACATAACCTGGCCTCCGTCGCAACACCCCCCCAATTTGGGTCCGGCTATCAAGCTACAGGAGTAGTACTCAGGTTTAGTCTATGGCATACAATTCAGGTCGCAACCCTACCCAGGTGGGAAAGAGCAATTTTCCAGCCTTGGAGCCTGGGGCATTCAATCAATAGATCTTCATCCTATGAAACCTCAGAAGAAAAACAGATTAGGTAGATTTCGCTAGGAATATATTGGCAGACGAAATCCATAGTATTACATGTACCAGACTGGTGTGCGTACGCACTCTTCTCATAACCACAGCTAGGGGTCCGGCACTAAAGCCAAACAGGCTCATACCCATTGTGGCAGTGAAATAATTGAATATACGCTGTCGCTATATCATTGGATCGATCCTTTTATGCATTATCAAGTGCTTGGTCTCCACGTCGGAGGCCCGCCGGACTCCCCCTCGGACCTCAAATTTGTAAGTGAGCCTTGCGAAGTGGGGAAGCTGGGGTGCACATACATCACAAGCCAATGTGGTGCCAATTAGGTGTAGCTGCACATTCCTCCCTGGCTTCCTATATATCAGATAAAAAAGACATCGACTTGGAATGTTTTCCTCGGCCGCTCTTAGCGGTGGCCCTGTCTCATTTTTGCAATGGATGACTCGTTGTAGAATAGAAGATAGGAAGTCCACCCGGTCCATCTCCAAAGGCAATTACGATGTATACACAAAAATTTGAACTGCTGTGACAATCGTCCGGAAGATTCTGAGGGTCATTTTCACGCGCCTAGCTCCCGGTAACCCTCACAAGCAAGGATAAAGATTACGAACAACGTCCATTGACCACAAACAAACTGATCAAGTCGAGCTTTAAGTGATTTTCGAAGAGATATTGATGTTACTCCAGAGCCTATCAACCCTTTTTTTGTGTTCTCTTTCACGAAAATCTTGGATAGGCATCTTTCAGAAGCCCTGAAACCTTAGTGACCTCAGTCCCCCGCATCTTAGTTTAAACGTTTTACTCTCTAATGAAAGGCTTTTCAGGTTCGAGTGTTGTGTGCAGACATGCTGGATTCCAATATTTAAATATTGTTCTTTCTAACAAGAAGGAAAACGGGCTAGTCCACGTATAGCAAATGAATGACAAATGGGTCTGTCAGGCCTTGCCTGAGGCCAAATTCTCTCAGTGGCCCCGAGTATGATAGCGCGGGTCTTCAATGCTCAGTGTTGCTCCTCCACATTCGCAATGTTGGATCTTGCGGAGTTGAATTGCAGCTTGAGGCCATTGAGCTTCAAAGGCTCATCTTCAATCTCCTTGGAGTCGGTATCGGCGGCGGTGTCGGCATTCGCATCACGAGGGGCAGGCTCTGGCCTGTACAGGTTTTGAACTTCCTGCATCGTCTTCCATGGCTGAGATCTCTCCTCAGTCGCGTTGTTAACTGATTGAGGCTGGACCTCAGTTAGCAATATGTACATATCTCATGTATCACTGAACATTCAATCTCGAATTTCCAAGGCACTCCAGGTGTCATACCATATTTGAAGAGTGCGGGCTTGTAAACCGTGAGTAAGTTCTGTAGGAGTCTTTTATGTGAGAGTGGAATCGATAGTATCTGAGGATGATGAATGATAGTCTGAGGGGGAGCTAAGGGCTTATATATGTTTGAATCGAGGTAACCGGATTGAATTCCACCCTTAGAAGGTTCAAACAAACCAAGGTTGAATCAATTGATGTCCAATGAGTGCACCGTAGATAGCATTCACATGTGCATCACGATGTCAAACCTGGCCATACCAATTCAAACGTCGCGCATAAAAACGAGCACGCGAGTATGTATGCACACAGGGGTGTGCATGTGAAATGACGTGGACGTTGACTCCGAGCATTGAATGCGGGCGCAGTGATAGATAGGCCCGGCTGGTAGTCAGTCCCAACGTGTGGGAGTTCCCTTCGCCCTGTATCCCTGGAGTAAGAAACCCGCATGAGCCATGTTGCATTGGACAACATATTATCTTCTCGATCAAGGAAATATTGCGCAATCCTTTGCCCCGGTTCATGTTAGACGTCTGGACAGCTCGAAGGATGAGATCCTAGCCTAGCACGTCTTACACGCGCTGCCTGAAGTGTAAATAATATGCATGTTTGGCCTTCCGGTTCTTCTCAGTCAACATATGCATGTGTACCTTGGGAAAATGTCAAGGTATGATTGGACGGATGATGTCCCGGTTTAAGGCCATGGATTCGGGTTACAGTGCATTAGTGCGTAACCAAGCTTCCCAAGGCCCTTGGCCGATCGTCGCACTTCATTCCTAAATCCGATTGGGTGTCGCTACGGATATTCCCGTACGAAACGTAACCTTCCAAGGTTCCCCGCTTCGTTACCTACCTAGGTAGGTAGGTTCCAACCTTGTTTCCAAATTTGGGAGATAAGCACCTAGCCAATCACAGTCTGGCCCCTGAGTATATCCAATGGATCAGATTCTTGATTGGGAAGGGTGCGCGAGAAACTGCAATGATGCGCAATAATGCGCAATAAACTGGAGTAATATACGACGATGCAGGGCAGCAGATGAGAAATCTACCCAAAACACCCATTCGCCTTTGTTAATTTGGAATTCCTTTGGCTCGGCGCGTTGCGTTTTCTCCGTGCTCCGCTCAACTTCCAACACGCGTAAGCCCGGCCTCAGATCCAAAAATCAGTGACTGGGTTTTGTCACAATTTATACACAATCTAATCTGCTCATACAGTACCTCTTGAATTGCACTTGCCTTTATAGGGAATATTGGAAAGGATATTACTGTCTTTGAAGAAATGCCGGAGTCTCCTGAGCTCAATGCGGCAGTAATGACTGTCGTTGACTGTGATGACTCGCTCAAAGCGAAGATCCAGTATCTTGCAAGAGATGAGCAGCACCGGTTGGTGAAGCCATATTATTTACACTTCAATTACGAGTCTGATATTCCTCCAACAAACACATCGCCCGATGATCGAATCGTCCACATCCGTAATGCTCGGAATCTGCAGATTCCGTCGAGAGAGATGTTCCTTCAGAAGGGGTTTACTCAGCTGCACCTTGATTGTTCTTTGACACCTGAGGAGTATTGCGACGATAAGAAAGTAGAGGAAGTTCTATACCCGAAATACAAATCAGCTGCCCGGGATTTGTTCCCAAATGCCGCGCGAATTGAAGTCCTAGAGCACGCAGTGAGCAAAAGGCCAGATCGTTTGAAGATTAAACATTTCGGAATGCTGACGTGCGGGAACCAGGTTCGCAAACGTCACCCTCTTTGGCTATCTGAGAGCTTAGAACGACACGAGCTTAACACAAATCAACCGAGCGATTATGTGCACATTGGTACGCGCTGATGATCTTTCATATAACATTTGCGCATTTGGACTGCATCCACGTGTATACTGACCCTTTCATTGGATTCATATGCTCAGATATGACGGCATCCTCGGCTGCGAAATGCAGCATTAAGCATTTTAACATTTCCCCAAAGAGTTACTCAAGATTCGTGGTCGTAAAGTACATCTGCCTTGACTCCCAGAAAAAAATGCATCGCAAAGCTTACTCTCCATCTCATCAGCCTCTGGAAGCCAATAAGAGGGCCAGTATACGACTTTCCTCTGACGGTTTGCGACCGCAGCACCGTGGACTATGAATCCCAGGCCACTGCAATGGACATTGTTACTAGTAACTACCTTAACGAGAATACCCGCATATACTTTGACGGTAGTCACAAATGGTACTATTGGCATGGGTTGCAGGCCGACGAGGTAATCGCCTTCGTACAGGCAGATTCCCAAGAGGAGAACCGAGCAGGTATGATGAATTTACCCTATGGCCTAGAGAATTCATTTCCTCGAATTTTGACACTAAAACTTATTGAATCAGGGGTTCCCCATACGGCGTTTTACGACGCTCGCAATACTAATGAGACACAATTGCGGGAGAGTATTGAAGCTAGAGTATTTGTTTACTTCGACTGAATGTAGTTCTCAAACGCCTTGACCAGACACATGCATGTGCATTGTACAGTAGCGGTGTATAATGAATATACCATTCAAACTTTTACATATGTGCTATGGATCACAATCCCAAATCCAACATTTGAACCTATCGCCTAGACTTTCCAAACCGCTCTTTACTATGGAACCAGTCTCCGTACCTCATCAGTAAGCCCAAGGGAGGAATAAAAGCAGCGGCGATCAAAGCTAGAACAGTGTTACCCCAGCCCTGTCCGATACTATCATATAAAGCCGGGCCAATCAATGGCAGAAAAGCACCAGCAATCGCTCGGAAGATGACACCACCAGCTATAGCGGATGCACCATGAATTTCATAAACATCCACCACATATGTTTCAGCCGGTATGGCAGAAAGCGTCATACTGAATCCTGCAGCGCACGTCCCGATGAGCGGTACGATGTATTGAACATGGAAATGTAATGTCCATCCGTAGACCAGGAAGCCGATAGGGAGAATTATTGCGGCAAAAATTAGATGAACCAGCCGGGATTCCTGTTTGAATGCGTCGCCCTTCGTTTCTCGCTTATGGATCATATAGCGGTCGGAGGTGAGACTGTAGAAAATCAAACCGACGGTGTTACCGATCGCGAGACTTAAAAAAGTCAAGCCAACAGAGCCGCTAGAGAATACGTTAGGGTATGTCGTTTCCATATTTTCTGTGAGCGTGGCAAGAATCAATGAGACCAATGCGTATGTTATGGCCATATAGCTCGTGGTCAAAATGAGGATAGGGGACTGTGCCAGTATCTGCATTGGTTTGATAGCGCGTTCGAGCATAGTGGATTCGTCGACAACGGCTTGGTGTTTCGAATGATACTTCTTCTTCTTATCCGTTGACTCCTCTTGCAACCTCTCCGCCTTTCGCCTCAGAATCACCACTGTATATGTTTCCCGGAGCATAGTCAGCAATAGAAAGCTGAAGAATCCAAGTATAATAGCTGCTAGCCAAATCGACCATCGCCAACCTAGGCTTTGTGCGATATACGATCCGGCGATAGGTGAGATAAAATCAGCTATCATTTGAGTCCCCATAACTAATGCCATTGCCTGGCCGGTTCGTTCCATTTGGAACAGATCCCCGACGATGGCGGGCCCGAGAGTGAGAATGGATAGGAAGCAACCCGTTAGGAATCGGAACGCAATCAACATAGGAATGTTTACGCTCAGGGCGCTAGCGATCAAGCAAAGGAGCGCGAGGAAATTTCCAATATGGAAGACAGGAAGCCGACCGAATCTTTCGGAGAGCGGTGCAATGAAAAACGGACCGATTCCTTCTCCAAGCTCCCAAATCGTGACGAGTAAGGTCTGGTCGACCTTACTATGAGAATTAAACTCTTGTAAGATCTGTGGCGTTGTAGGTACAATTGTCATTGTCGAAAAGACACTAATTAGGTCAGTCGATGACGGAGGGTACAAAGACCTACGAGACAAAAAAAGAAAAGATGCCTACCTAACGAAACCCATCCATGAGACAACAAACACAATCAGCCATTTATGCGTTGACGACCAGTTTAAGGGGGTTTTTTGGGTCGTTCTCCTCGAAATCCACGAGGATAACATCTGAATCGCCTTCCCCGATGGCATGTTCCAATGGTAGTTCACCGGCCCTCTCATTCTCGCTTTCTGCCGCAGTCACATGTTCTTTGTCCGGCAATTGCTGCTCAAGTGAAGATAAAAGAGGGACTGGGTGGGTAGTAGCCCCGTCGATGAAAGACATCAGTGTGAAGTGGTTGGAATATACCAACAGTCTCTTCTCAACTGCTGAGATATCCCAGGTACAAAGAGGAAAAAGGGAAACAAAGCAAATGAAGAGACAATTTAAGAGCCAACAGGGTGCATCACGTGAGGGATATAACACCCAATATCCGAGGCGTAGATTAAAAAAGCTTAGACAGATTTTCACATAATGTTACTTGCCAACCTTGGAAGGTTACATGTCCTTTTGCATTTGACACGGCACACAATCAATCGATGGCGCATTCTCACACATCTTCAACCTATCACGATCTAATGTTTTTGTTTTCTTATCAACGAGCCACATGATTGGCCCGATGTACCCCATATTCCCGTCCACACATGCTCCAGTCTGAGACTACGGAGTCTAGAGCGATCAATACCCGTGCGGGCCGTGCCTTGGGAAAGAAAGTATAATTTTGCACGTTGGAAAGAAGAAATCCGGATATTGCAATACAGGCTGTTATTGGACTAATTTGTGTTACACTTCAGAAGAAGAACCCCGCCCCGAGAGAGCCTCGTTCACACTCACATCTCTGCTCCTGGGGTTATGTATGGCCTACTACTTGAACGCATATCCACTTTGGACGCTCGAGCCGCGGTTTAATCCGGACTCCGAGGATTCCGAGTTTGCCGGACTAGTCTGAAATACTTTCTGGAAGAAAGCCGGGGGGGGTACGAAACTGTTAACGAGATACACGGACCCTTATTTTGGGTGGAAAACATCTGATGGGTCAGCCAATGATAACAATTTTGGACACATGAGTATTTGTGACTACTGCAATTTGGCCCTCATTACTCCGTACTCCGTAAACACACCAATTTTACCACTTTTGATCGACCTTGAATACTTTATTGTGATCAAATTTGTCTATCCTCGATGCTGCCCGTATACGTACAAGATACACGGCCTTTGAACAAGTGTTTTTGATGTTTGAACAATCAATTAATTCACTAATATTTGAGGTCAGCCTAAGGAGGAACGACACATACGCTCTGAAATAATAGTGCTTGACCGGACTTCACCGTTCTTTTTCACCACAAGACTGGAGCGTTGTTCAGCATCGATGATACTCAACGATCCAAGATTGTCAATAATAGCTCGTTCAATTAAAATAATCATGAATCTCAAATATGCATTCCAAATATGGAACTCATTCCCTGATTAGACTTGGTCCTAAAATTTAGTAGTACCCTACAAAGACTTGAGGATACGGTTAGAATATGACTATGTACATTCGCTCAACGATGCCGGTTGATGATTGATTGATCTTTTTTTATACGTTCGCGGTTTTCAAACGGTCAACATTCTCGGTATAGATAGGCCTGAATTTAATCACAAGGCAAAATAATACTTATATGTTCGACTACTTCTAGTTGTTGCAAAAGTCTATGTTGAGATATTCTAGATATCGTAATACCTGCCTGGCCACCTCTGTCTTTTTGACGGCAGATTTTGATCCCATTGCTCCCATCCTCTAACCTCTTCTCTTGACTGATTCAGATCCTTCTCCATTCCCGATACCTCGGATTCAAGATCTGACACTTTCAAATGCAACTTCTCGACTTGGTCCTCTAATGGACTAACCAAGAGCCTCCTCCCAAGCTTATATGACACTTCCACGGCAAAAGAACCCCCTTCTGACATGAGCATGCAGAGTTGATCACCCAAAAGTGCTGTAAACTTGAGGGCTACAAATTGTGACAACAGGTTTCTCGCATGGTTTTGGGAAGAATTAGGTGTTTTCGAATAAATAAGTCGGATTGCCTCCATTAACTGTGGCGACATGCTTATTTGCTTGTTTTGTAGAATGGCAAGTGTTTTAGCAAGACGATTCAACGCGAATGCCTCCAACTTTGTTAAAAGGTATACATGTGCAAAGCAGTACACTTTGGCATGGGTAAGAATCTCAATGGCGAGAAGTTCATCGTGGCCTCCGGCAAGACCTAGCGGATTTGTGGCACTCTGAATTGTGGCAGGTCGCTCTGGAATCATAAGATCCTCGATTGGGGTCAAAGGCCTGGTGTTCAAGCCATCAATCGCTGGATGGTCGGGGATAGTTTCTATAGGATTCAGATTGCGTAAGATTTTGGTGATGTGTGCTAGATCTAAGAACACTGAGAACATACCCTCGCCGTCTAATAGACCTTTATTGAAACTTTCCTTTCCAGTAGTTTTGAGATTAAACTTCTTTGCCTGTTCCTCAATCTCTAGGTTTGAATCGGGAGCAGCGGGGAAAGGGCAGTAATCCCGTGCGTAGACGTAGCTCAAGAAGCAAACAATTGTATGTTCATCAAACTCAGTCAAATCAAGTACTTCTTCGCTTCTATCTTTCCAGGACCCATATACTCGGGCATATATTGCTGATGAAGTAAATGGCATAAAGACTCCAGGATGAACGTGGAATATCTTTCCTTGTTTGCCAACCTTCAGTTGAATAGGTAGGTCTTTGAAGAAGGACCTTCGTGAATATTAGTTTGAGTTTCAATATGGCAAAATCTTCGTATAACTTACTCAGATAGACGGATTGATGTGGCAGCCATGATACTTGAAGATCAATGTGCTTCGTTACTGAAAGACGTGAAGATGAGACAGGATAGTTGCGGCTTAGAATACTGATTGCGGGGCATTGAAGGTATTATATGGTGTAGATATAGATGTAGACAACGCACAGATAAGGAACAAGGCCACCATATCAAATCTTCAAGAGGGGGAACATGCAACTTATTGGGCGCCTCGCCGAAAACCGTATTTTGATAAGCCCACGTAGGTGGTGGCTGGGCGAGCTCTCAGGGCCACCAATCCCCTACCAAAAGAATTGAGGCTAGTGCACAATGATATAATGAATAATGGAATTGATGACTTGTTAAGCCTGAGACGATTACCAACGTGTCGTCCTATTTTACCCATCCTTTTCCGGGGATCTTCCATTCTAACAACATCTCAAGCTTACCCTCAAGGGTCATCCGCTAGTGGGCACTCGGAGTCAGGGCTACGTCCTCTTCAGTGTTCCGCCAGAGCACTTTCTTATTCACCGTGACTTTCCACTCTATCGTATATTGGATGCAGTCTGCAAGAAGTTCGTTACTTAACATTCTGTCACACTATTCGGATAACTAAGTCATCGAAAAGGCTGCGGTTGCTGTTGTGACAGGACTTCCGGATCATTTTCGAAGTGATAGTTGGGGTCAGGGCTGAGCCCATAACTTGACGCAGGCGTGTGACCGCAGTATCCTGGAGTGGGGGCATATTGTGAATCTTGATCCCCAGGTTCGAGATCATGTGGCTGAAAATCATGATCATTGGAAAACGAATTAACAGCCATCGTGCTCATTTCAAGGCTCTAGGAGATCCAACATCAGCATGATCACGACCTGTCAGTGCAACAGATGCTAGTCCCCAATCAGAAGGCCAAACCTGTCACAGGTCGCTCGTTCGTAGTGGTCACTCTAGAGGGCAAGTGGTTGGCAGAATGGGGATTCTAATTCCTGCTACGTCTCCAAATAAGCAGGCATTCGTTTGTTTGGCTTGTTTGCTATATCAACGTTCTAGAACCCCTGGTGACTATACGAGTCTAATACAGACGCCATTTTAAAGCTGTTATCTACGATTGTACCGGAATACCGTCAAGAAAAGGGTTCAGGGGCAGTGCAACTGTAATAGGTATAGCGTGTTTCGAAAGACGGTTCGAGAAAAAATCTCTGTGAGAAAAAGGTGAAACTGATTTCGATCCATCCTGTAGTAAAAACAATCCAATCGCTACAACATCTAGTCGCTCCCCGACCAGGTAGTTGATGCGCTAAAAGCAGTGTCGTCGCAGAACGAATAAAATGAAAAGGGCATATATGGGAGACGGGTCAGATATATATTCTGTCAGTAGATGCCCTAGGGTTTTAGTATTTTCTAACTATACAACTGGTAAGTCGTATATGACATTATTTGTGAAGAGAAGCTGACTAGTCACTACCCGATTCCAACCGTTACAACCTATCGTAACTTCGAGAAGGGCGTGAAGGATACTAAGTGCGAAATCATGCAATAGAAATATCAAATTGTTTAGCTTGAAAAGACCTAGTTATACGACATTAAAAAAATCTGGCACCAAGCCATCATTTTTATCATTCATTCACTGCACTCTGCTCTCAAAATGATAGCGATATCCATTATACACCTCTAGACCGCACCGCTTTATGCCAGGGAGCCTTGACTCCAAGAGCAATAAAGCCCCCGGAAATAATTAATATTATCTGGCCGCATTTCCTCAGAAACTGATGCAGTCACTGATGACCTTGAGGGACAGCTTTTCCCTGAACGCTGTTGGGACACAGCTAATAGATTTGCGCAGCAGCAGGCGTGGATATGCGGTGGTGACTGTCTAGCCCGTTTCCCAGGCTCTGCCGAGTTCTGAATATCTCAGCTTCTTCTCCGTTTAGACTTGAGATGTATTAATCAAGACGTGGCATGACGTGACGTTCATCTCTTCAATGGCTTTTACGTAGAATCTTATTTCTCACAACAGAGCTGCATCTTTTAATTCCTTCCTTCTACTTAAAGGGTTAAGACGACAGACACAGCAAGAAGGTATTGTAGATAAAACCAAAGAAAAATGAGATTTGTCGGCAATTGCCAAAATAAAAGAAATGCCCATACTGTACAGGATTCAACGTGATAATCATCCCAAATGGAGACCGCTCTAGCCCGTACAAAACCCAATGCGAAGAGAACTCCTCCAAGTCGACCCTTTTGAAGCGGGTCTTTCTATTTAGTTTGTGCGAGCAACCTCCTCAATTTCAACCTTTCCATCCTTGCGGATCTTCGCAACGCTTTGGCTCGTTCCTTGGATTTCTTGCTCCAATTCCTGGACAGAGCGCGTCAGGCCAGCGATATTGCTGACGGCCTTTTCAGATTCTGTCTTTTCGGATTCCGTCTTTTCGTCTAGTGTTTTTGCGTCATCGGTAGACCGAGGAGGGGGCGAGGTGAAGCCACTAGGGACATTGGCGATCTCATTGGCTTCCTGTGCGGACAAAACATCGTTGAGGCGAGGACCGCGAGATTGCACGAGGATGGTCGTGGGACCCTCAAATTGCAGGAAGAGCTAGATAACATTGTTAGTTGTTGAATATTAAAAACACAAAAACGAGGCTGCCATACTCTATCTCCCCAGATGGTCATTCGAGACCAGGTACGCAGCTTGTGGAACCATTGCATAGTGGTTTTGTATGCCTTGGAATCAGAAACGTCACGAATGAACTTGGCATTTTGTAGAAGTCTTGGTAGTGTCTTCAGACCCGGCACCTGGAAGTTGAGAGTGGTGGATTTAAATCGGTAGGGGCGAGGAGGGTTAGAGGCCATGGTGTAAGCGACCACATTGCTGTTGATCGAATATTAGCGACGTCAGACGTGTAATCCCGGCGGAGGGGTCATACCTGGGATGCGCAATGTACTGCTCGCCATCCTTCAATTCAACGGAGTATAGTTGTCCGTTTCCAACCAACGCTATTAAACCTCTGCCAGTCACCTCGGAGCTACCCCAGTGAGACAAGCTCTGCGCAAATTAGCTTTGAGTTTCCCCTAATACGATAGCAGCTCGACTCACCAGGTTTGCGTTGATAGTCGGCTTGATGGTCAGAGACCGGCCCGTCCATGCAAGCAAAGCCCGTCTTTGGGCAACCATCCAGTCCACGGAGCCATTGACGTTAACAACGGCAAAGGAGGTATTGGGCGATCGAACAGAAACGAGGGCTGTGACGGGGGTTGGTGAGGAGACCTGGGGAATTGTCAATGGCTGTCTTTAGATCCTCATCGTCGCACGTCTTACCTTCTGATAAAGAAAGGGCACTCCGACGACAGCCCTCCGGAAGGGTTCTAGAACACTCAAAGTGGAAACCACCTATGCAGATTATGCGTTAGCATGATAAATCCCCCCCAGGACAGCATTATCACGGGAGCGCATACATTATCCGCCTTGCCGCTCAATCCAACCAGCGTTCCGCGTCGGGTGTATAGGTTCTGCGAGGCCGAGAGCGAAACGGAAAGAAGCGAATATGGGGCGCCAACAACATCGAAACGCGCATCTATGTGCCCTCATTGTCAGTGTGACTGACAATAACAAAGCCCCGGGGAAATTGCAATTACCTCGTGATTCAACAGAGCTGGGCGTGCTAGCGAGTGGCAGATTGTCCCCATTAACCGAAGACACTCCCGATGGCGCGGCGCGAATCTGAACCCATCGTGTTTGGCGGTGGACGCGAGGAACAACTCGCGTCCAGGACAGAGGCCGAACACCTTGGACGGGGCGCATTGTGTTTGAAAAAAAAAAGAGCGACGACCAAGTGCCGAAGGGAGAATTTACGTCAGTTGTGACGAAAGGGAAATCGGGAAATCGTGGGCCCGAGAGCGATGCGGCCTACGAAGTACACAACTCCCCCTCGGAATTGCGACATTTGGCGTTTTATTATAAGAGGTTCTTGAATTACTCTCATTCTTATTTTCTCTCTTACATTTGCTTGACTTTTTGCGACTATCCCGGACTTGCATCGAGAGCGACGGGTTTTACTCCGAAGCCGGCGATTTCCCCCCACGAGCTATCGGACATAGCTACCTTGCGCGCCAATCTTTCTTACACGCTCCCACTATGCGCTCTTGAACCTCTTCTCGGTGACTCGAACTACTCCGGAGCTCAGAGAATATCATCTTAGGCGGCCATGCTGCTCAGAGCCGCACGATCGCCGTGCTGGCGCACAGCGCAATTCGCCCACCCGAGCTTCGCCGGCAAGCTACGAAGCACACGGCTCAATGGAACACACCTGCGCACATTCACGTCAAATAACAATTCATTATGGAGTCAATCCACAGATAATAAAGATCCTACATCTGTCAAAGCCACTCCTACCTCTGCCCCCGCACCATCGCAACTAGCAAATGCCAATATTATCCAGAAGCCGGAAGATAACGGCAATGCGAAGACCCCACCAAAAAAGGACTTGCTGAGCGAGCCCATGACTGGAAAGCAAGAACAAAGGAAGGCAGACTGGGCTATTATGAAAGAAATGGCCAAGTATCTGTGGCCGAAGGTAATCCCCGAGTGCTATTGGTATAGAATAGCTGAGTACTGACTATCGATTGTAGAATGATTGGGGCACGAAGCTCCGTGTTAGCACGGCACTTTCACTGCTTATTGGAGCAAAGGCAAGTTTTGTCTGTTATTGTGTTTTCATTTAACTATGCTAATCCGAACCCAATGCAGATCCTCAATGTGGAGATCCCTTTCTACTTTAAGAACATTGTCGACTCCATGAATGTAGACTTTGCTACCGTCGGTGGCACCGCCTACACTGTGGCGGGTTCGATGATTATTGCTTGTAAGAATGGCAGCATGTTGAAAGAAAGGACTCGTCACTAATACTTTTTAGATGGTGTGACCCGAATTGGTGCTACATTGTTCCAAGAGCTCCGTAATGCGGTCTTTGCTAGCGTTGCGCAGAAGGCAATTCGGAAGGTGGCGTCAAATGTTTTCGAACATCTGTTGCGACTGGATCTCAAC